TTTTTCCCCCAAATCCTGATATCACCCCTTCCATTGTCCCCCCAAATCCTGATATCGACCCTTCTATTGTACCCCCAAATCCTGATATCAACCCTTTTTGTACCCCCAAATCCTTATATCGACCCTTCTATTGTACCCCCAAATCCTGATATCAACCCTACCATTGTACCCCAAATCCTGATATCAACCCTTCCATTGTACCCAAAATCCTAATATTGACCCTTCCATTGTACCCCCAAATCCTAATATCGACCCTTCCATTGTACCCCCAAATCCTAATAGCAACCCTTCCATTGTACCCCAAATCCTGATATCAACCCTTCCATTGTACCCCAAATCCTGATATCAACCCTACCATTGTACCCCAAATCCTGATATCAACCCTACCATTGTACCCCAAATCCTGATATCAACCCTACCATTGGACCCCAAATTCTGATATATACCCTTCCATTGTACCCCCAAATCCTGAGATTGACCCCTCCATTGTACCCCAAATCCTGATATTGACCCTTCCATTGTACCCCCAAATCCTGATATGAACCCTTCCATTGTACCCCCAAATCCTGCTATGAACCCTTCCATTGTACCCCAAATCCTGATATTGACCCTTCCATTGTACCCCAAATCCTGATATCGACCCTTCCATTGTACCCCAAATCTTAATATCAACCCTTCCATTGTACCCCCAAATCCTGAAATCGACCCTTCAATTGTACCCCAAATCCTGAAATTGACCCTTCCATTGTACCCCAAATCCTGATTTCAACCCTTCCATTGTACCCCCAAATCCTGAAATCGACCCTTCCATTTGACTCCCAAATCCTGATATCAACCCTCCCATTGTACCCCAAATCCTGATATTAACCCTCCCATTGTACCCCAAATCCTGATATGAACCCTTCCATTGTACCCCCAAATCCTGATATGAACCCTTCCATTGTACCCCCAAATCCTGATATGAACCCTTCCATTGTACCCCCAAATCCTGATATCGACCCTTCCATTATACCCAGAAATCCTGATATCAACCCTTCCGTCGTACCCCAAATCCTGATATCTTCCCTTCCATTGTACCCCAAATCCTGATATCAACCCTTCCATCGTACCCCAAATCCTGATATCTTCCCTTCCATTGTACCCCAAATCCTGATATTGACCCTTCCATTGTACCCCATTAATTTCCAATTCCCACCAATCACTTCTCTTCTCCAGTCATCATTTACATGGCCCCTCCCCCCCTCCAATGGCTTTAATTCTATATCTGACAGTTGGTGATCTTTCTGCAGTGATCCCGGCCGTGCTGCAAGTCTCTGTGCCCTCGCCCCAGGAGCTGACACTCCATGCAGATGACACCCTGAGGATGGTATGTGAAGTCTCCTCCAGCAACGCCCGGCACACACACTTCTCTGTCACCTGGTACCGGGAGGACTCTACCAAGCCCCTCCTCCACCTCTCCAAACTCTCCATCGTATCGGCAGGACCTTCCTTCCAGGACCGTCACCTGGCTGGCCACCTCCGGCTGGAGAAGGTGTCACCCATCTGGTATCAGCTGACCATGTCCAACCTGCAGCCCACCGACCAGGCCGAGTACTACTGCCAGGCAACCGAGTGGATCCAAGACCCGGACTGGACCTGGTACCCACTGACCACCTTAAGGAGTCGGGCAACACGAGTCTTGGTGCGGTCACCAGGGACCCTGTTAATGGATGGAGCACCAGGTAATGAAGGAGGAGGGCGGGGACAGCTGTCTATGGTGGACAGACCCGGCAAGGGTTAAGAGCCCGTTTCAGGTGTAATGTAATATCACAGTATGGCCACTAGAGGGAGCTGATGAGCATAGGGGGATCAGCATTTATTAAGGCCACTAGATGGCCCTGAGGGGCACAGGGGACAAGTATTTATTATGGCCACTAGATGGAGCTGAGGAGCATAGGGGGAAAGTATTTATTATGGCCACTAGATGGAGCTGAGGAGCATAGGGGGAAAGTATTTATTATGGCCACTAGATGGCACTGAGGGGCAAAGGGGGTAAGAATTTATTATGGCCACTAGATGGAGCTGAGGAGCATAGGGGGTAAGAATTTATTATGGCCACTAGATGGAGCTGAGGAGCATAGGGGGTAAGTATTTATTATGGCCACTAGAGGGAGCTGAGGAGCATAGAGGGGTAAGTATTTATTATGGCCATTTGATGGCGCTGAGGAGCATAGGGGGTAAGTATTTATTATGGCCACTAGATGGCGCTGAGTAGCATAGGGGGCAAGTATTTATTATGGCCACTAGACGGCGCTGAGGAGCATAGGGGGCAAGTATTTATTATGGCCACTAGATGGCGCTGAGGACCATAGTGGGTAACTGTATATGTCCAATGCTCCTCAGCTCCACCTAGTGGCCATAATGTGCTATTACATTCAACCTGAAAAGAAAATACACTAAAAGAGTGACAACAGTCCGGGGAGGGGGGCGGGGCATCGATGTGATTTTGTATTTGTAGATTTTGGCCCTTTAAAGGGATACCTGCTACATACGTGTGAGAGCGCAGGGGATATGAGCTTAATGATGACGTCACTGTGCATGTTGATGACCGGTCAGTAACAATCCATGATGTCATTGTAGATGTGATGTCAGCGGTCCGCAGCGGTGCGACGAGCAGCGGACCACCCCGGATGTCCTCTCCTGTCCTGTCATTGCTCCCTCTAGTGGTCTGGGCGGCACACTGCAACGAGTAGAAAACGCGCGTCCTGGGTGGGGCTTGTTGGGAAGAAAACGTGAAGCTTTGCCCCTCGAAGAGGAACACCTCCAATATTTGGGGAATGGGCGGAGCCGTCCTCTAGAACACTCCCCACTAAACCTGATCCACTGCAAGGTGAAGAGAACCTGTCACATACAACGGAGCAAGTCATCAATGCTTCATAGCATAGGACATGGACCCTTCACAGATCATACCGTCACATGACCAGACGCGTGCGGGCTCCGCCTTCTGGTTTTACTTTATTTGGGATTTTTTAAGGTTGATGAACTTGTAAATTTTTGTTTTTTAATTCTTTGTATATAAATTTTGTCTCACCAATAAACATGAATACACGATAAAGGATTC